TGTGTTCTTTGTGTGGTTCATATAGAGAGCTTGGGCTACCTGTGGATCAGATTGTAAGAACAACATCCCAATGGTGGGGGGAGTGGGTGGGGCAAGTTTTGTTTTATCTGTGGCGAGCGACATGCTTCATGGGTAAGTGACAACTAACGTTCACCATGGCGGAAATAATATTTGTTTTGCTTCTCGTTGGCGTAATGGGAATGTCATATGCAGGAGGAGTTTTCTTCGTGAATATAATCAAGACAAATACTCTTTAGTGATGTCAATGAGTCGGCTTCTGTGCCTTTGTGCCAAAAGAAACTATGCCCAAAAATTACATCATGCAAGGAAATCGTCGCGAACAGATACCTTTAGTGAGATTCTGCCAACTGGGAGACTGCGAAAATGTCCAGAAACTTCTCAAACAAGGTGTGTCTCCAAATAGTGTCGGATCTTTTGGTTGGACAGCTTTGCAAGAAGCTGCAAACGAAGGCCATTCGGCTGTAGTATCACTACTTTGCCTACAAGGTGACTGTCGAAGCGACCTCAATTATTTAGGTTCTGCAGGAGAAACTGCGCTTCACAAATGTACAGTTAATGATGATGCGAAAACTATGGAGGTTTTGCTATCTTTAGGAAGTGAGGTAGAAGTGAGGAACACTGGAGGGCATTCTGCTCTTCACGTAGCTACCTATCATGATAATTTTGAAGCCGTAAGGTTGTTGCTGAGTTACAATGCTGATGTTATACTATGTGATCGGTGGAACCAAACACCACTACATAGAGCCGCTGGTAAGCTGAAAGAAAAAGAAACGGGTGTGTGTGGGGAGGGGGGAGGGGTTCCTTTTTTTACGTTACCAAGCAGAAACTCACCCCACCCCCAATATAGAATCCGTACATCATAACATTACAACTTCTTAGAAAATCCCAGGGCTATATTTTTAAAATTAAGTCAGAAGTTGTCAGTGAGATAAGTTTATTAATTCAGAGAATACCATAATTTTTTTATTCATTGTTATGTCATAACTGTTTAATTCTCTATGATGATGAACTGCTGATCAGTTAGAGAAAAATCCTTAAAAATGAGGCTCAGTCAATTTGGAATTTATTGCTCTTGCAAACTGGTGTAATCTAGGGGTGCACACCCTTCGATATCTTCTTTCATTTTGAACCAGTCTGCGGAGGAAAGATGCAGAGGAAAGGTAACCCTCAGTTCATGGATCTGCAAAGAAAAAAAACACTTGAGTTTTCACTGGCACACTTGTTATGCTCTACAAATGAACCTTCAGGGACCTTGGTAAGACCCTTCATTAGGATCTACAATAGCAAAGTACACATTGAGTGTAGGGTCAGGCTGTTTCATTTCCACCATCAATTTCTCCTAATAATGATAAAGTCCCTGTACATCAGTAGTCCCTCTTGCCTTAAGCTTGTTTTCTTATCTATTTTTTTGTTTTGTTTTTTCTTTTTAAGCGAGGGGTTGTATTTCAGTAGTGCAGCTTCTTCTTGACCACAGAAGTGATGTGTTTCTCACACATGACCAGGGTTTCACCCCATTACACCTTGCTGCAGCATGGGGAAGCGTGCCAACAGTTGGCTTACTGCTTGCTGCTGGCTCAGATATCAATGCATTGAACAGAAACAGAAAGACAGCTGCTGATGTTGGTCAGTCAGCGGAAGCCTCCTTAGCCATTCACGATGTTGCTTGTCAAGCTCCTAAGCTACAATAATCCTTTGTATTGTAGTCGTAAAGAAATTGCTTTCTCAAGATCCAATTCAAAAGATCAGTCAGCTTCCAGTGTCCCAAGTTTTTATCAAAATGCATGGAAAATTTATCTCCGGTAGATAGGGGTGTGAGCTTTAATTCAGAGTAGTGTTGAGATGCAGGTTTATAAATTATGTCAACATTGTTATTCTGCAAGCAGTAGTGTGAGCAGTAAGAATTATAGGTCTTTGAAGCGATTGATTGACATCAACAGCTCTCATTAATATCATTTCTACTTCTGCTGTTTTGTTTATTGTCCATTTTTTTTGTATATATAATATTCTTTTTTGTAACACAGACTTAAATGCTATCAGACAAAAAATATTTGAATGATGTACTTGGTTTTAAGAGATTTAAAATTCTGCATCTTACACATTGTATCTTGTTTGTTTAACTCTTTAACTTCCTAAGAGTGACTAGCATCTAATTTCTCCTTACAATATCACCCGTAAATCCCACATTAAGGTCAGGAGAATAAAAGAAATGATCACCAACTAAATAATCTCTTGATTGTTAGACAAATTCTCCTTGCCAGCACCCTGGGAAATGCATAGAGTACTGTATACAGAGAATATATAAACTGGTATTAGGGTGTAAGGAGTCAGGTCTAACTAGCGTCCTTTTTATTTATTTTTTTTAATTCTTAGTCTGCCCTCCTATAATCCCTCTTTTAGTTGATATATCCACCATCAACACAACTGCTAAACAACAGTATCCTGAAAGATCAGAGTACTACTAAAAAAGTTAGAGCAAAACAAGAAACAGTTGCACAGTTCACCGAGTTTAGTGAGTTAGGTCTGAAAAAGGAACAATTTAGAGGAAAGTAAAAGAGTAACTAACGTTCATCGTTGCAGAAGGGAATTTTGTCGTCCTTTGTCATGGTGAAGCTAACTTTTCGAGGGCTTCATTTCAATGTTTCCTTATAATCGTCCGCGGGACTGGGGCGAGGGCATAGAAGCACCATGGCAACGAACTGCCTTGACTCTAGACGAAGGTCGCCATTTTGGTTACGGCAAAGCAGCTAACTTGCGATTCTACGACAGTTACCGATGAGATATCTGCTCCTCTAGCATTCGATAGAAACAAGTATTATACCTTGTGTGCCGGTCGTATTCCTTGTTTAGTCCGCTGATGGGAATTTAACTGGTAGAAAACTTCGCCATCATTTGTAAACATGTCCAATAAGAGTCGTCAAGATAAGACTAAAACTCCTGCTCAAACGTCCGCTCCACCGCCAACCAGCAATGATATTATACCGGGAAGGTTCACAGAGGCTGACTGGTAAGAATTTTTTTCATATTTTGTGATATTTCCCCCACCAATTTTCTTCTAGAAAGAGAGATATTTTATGAAGTACTCGGAAAGATTAGAGAGCATGAAAGATGTGAGAGAATTGCAGCTGAGAGCAATTTTAGCTTCATGAGTAATTTCCAATATTCGATAGCATTTTATTTATACATTTTCGATACGGTACTTGTGTAGTTGCTTACCGTTTGAATTCCTTCGGATATGCCTCGACCAATTTTTTTTTTCTAATTTTCCAATTTAAAGGAGGTAATTTGTTCACCAAAACTATGCAATAAAAAAAGTCACTGTGCTTGTTCAAAAGCAAAAGACCATTGTACCTCTTTACTTGGTCCATTAATTGATAAGCATTACCTTGCTCTCACGTTGTGCACTTATTCTACTGACTACATGATTTCCACACACAATACAGGATGTGTAGTGCAATACTTAATTCTTATTAACCGAGCGCGAGGTCTGTATGGGAGAATCTTGACCGAGGTTGCCAGTACAGACCGAACGCAGTGAGGTCTGTACCAGCGACCGAGGTCAAAATTCTCCCATACAGACCGACCTTGCTCGGTTAATAAGATGTTTACTATATGGATATATCAACAAAGTTGAAACGGTAAATTAGCCACCGTAACGATTACAAAACCTGACGTTTCGAGCGTTAGCCCTTCGTCATTTGCTCCGACTAAGGGCTAACACTTGAAACGTCAGCTTTTGTAATCAATATGGTGGCCAATTTACCATTTCAACTTTGTTAATAAAATTATATCCAAATTATTTCATTACTCCCACCGACGCAGCCCCAAACAGTTTCTTTCGAAACTATCAGCCTTTATTCACTGTAAATTATATGGCTGTGTCTTATATGCCAATTTTTTATATTCTTTGTACCTTTTTTTCTAGACCGGTCTAGATGCCGGTCTAGATAGGAAAACGTAGACCGCTTTCAATATTGATTTCAGCCAATCAAATTCGTGAATTCAGTTGTTCCCAGTCCTTGTGAGACACAGCCATATAATAATGAGGATTATCACCTCAACCATTTTCTTTTAATATTTAGGTACCATATGGTGGACCAGGAAGATGGGGAGGAATTTGTTCTGGACATAGTGAATGAAATTGTGGAATCCACAATGAAAGTCCTACATGATCAGTACATTTTCAGTCAAACTTTACCATATACTATACAAGAGTCTAAGAATTTACTTCTACAAATCATTGAGGTGTGTTTAGTAACATGACTTAATATAATTATAATTATTTATGAAATTTTTTGTGAGGGTATATACCCCCAAATGTTAATTCGGTGAACTTTGAATTTAGACATTCAGGTTTGATGACAAGAAATGTGTACATCATTTTGGTTCCTGTATATAGTGCTCCATAACTTTATGAATCCGGAGTTGAGTATGATCATCGAGTGATTTTCAGGAGAATGTAAAAATTTTTTTTAACCATCAAAATAAGTTTAAACTATGATCTGTTGGTTGGATTGCATCCAATTGTATAATTGTATGACTTAGCCCTTTTCTTAGTTTTTATATGTTACATGTAGCAAGGGTGTAGCTATGAAATTAGGCTGCTGGCTGAAATATCAAGTGAGGCAGCTTAATGATAAAATTGTTCTATAGCAAGCGGTTATAAGTTTGTAACCTTAAGAAGTTCCCATTGTACATTTCAGAGACATTGATCGCTTGTCAAAAATTAAGCAGGCAATTGCTGGATTTTCTTTGGAAAGTTTTATTTGGTAGGTGGGACTTAGCAACCACCCTAGAATAATATCTGAATATTATCTTTGAATTGCTCCTTTTCTAGTGGCAATTTCTTGCCTGTGATGTGGGAGAGAACAACCCTGCTTGTGATGCAACATGGCTGGAGGAAGATGGTACAGTATCTAACTGTTTGATTTATATGTTGAAGAGATGGTTGGCTGCATGTAATGAGTGTGGTAGTGCTAGTTTGGTAGCATCAAATCTAGTTATTCTTGAAAGTATTATGTTTTAATGCATCGTGTATCTTGATAACAGCTTTTTTTTTTTAAAATAATTTTATTTAGAACCTGTAACTCCAGTAACTGATTCATGGGCTCAAGGGTCAGTGCCAATTGTGTTACGACCATCATCAGCATCATCAGCATCATCAGCATCATCTATCCAATCAGATAGAGAGTCTGAGCTCTCATCTGTTGCTGAAGAAAGGCCAGGGTAAGTATTCATAAATGCTTGACATGTTTGTATTGACTTGATGGAAAAGTATTGCTATTTTTTATGCTTCAGCTTTTAATATGCTTTACACAGAATTCCCATTTTATTAGGCTAACTACAGCTAACTACTGTATGTTCTTTTGATGGTAATCTTTGATCTGTGTGGCTAAAGTGGTCTCTGAGTACTTTGCTATTGATCTCTTGATTCTCATTCAAAATGCAATCCAGTTATTGATGTTTTGTTGCCTAATCAGTGCCCCAGAACCACCATTTGAAGCTCTGGATGTGCCAGAGACTCCCATGTCAATAAGTAGTCCAGCACAACCTACCCCAGCTACTCCACAGGAGAGAAAGGAAGAAGAACCAAATGAGCTTTCAAAGAAGCAGGTAAAATAAGGAACAATTGAATTAATTATTGGAATTTTTTGCAATTTTTTTTCATGTCTAATCTGATATCCTTGTTGTTGCCCATGTTAAAAGATCAGTTGTGTGCATGTGGAGTACTGGGAACTGATAAAATGATGGGTGGGGAGAGTGGTGACCATGGATAGATTACCCCCCTCTCCCATTCAATTCGAACTGATTCTTATCTTATTGAAGGTGCAAAGAAAGAAGAAAATTTGTTCGCCATTCAGACCACACAAAGGTAAACTACCTTCATTTTCTGGAGTAGATCTTACTCCCTTAACTGATGATTCCAGCTTAAGAACAGCTGAAAGATCACAGGAGGTCATAAGAGGACACAGGGATACCACTGGATTAACTATGCTGTCATCTTCTACTTCTATTCTAAAGGTATGGGTTAAAAAATGCCAATATGTTTTGCAGTGGAGATGGATGAAAAGACAGAATATAATTTTATTGATTTATCTGTCATCTCTCTCAACCCTCTTGCCATCATCAATCATCAAAGATTAAATGGCAGTAAAATCTAGAATATCATCATGATGGCCGGCTTCTGGAGAAATCATTGCTAAAGTAGCCATCGATTAGTTTGGTAGATTAATATTATGATATGAAAATAGTTCTTAAGTGATAGAATTTTTAACATTTCTGGAAGAGAAGGTTATGAATGGAAATCAAGCTGAATTTTCCTGTTCCAACAAATTGCATATACTTTTTCTTTACTTTCAGTTTTGGGTGGTTCTCCATAAGCTAAAAAATGAACAAATAAATTGGAAAATATGACCAAATGTGTGTTGATGATAATAACTTAATGAAATGATTACTGTTGGCTGATCTCATTTAACTGAACACCATTTTCGAAAATCTGAGTTCATGCTAGTTATTAATTGTCATGAAAGTATTTTATGCCATAAAATCTCTGTCATCCTAAAAATTGCATTTCTATGTCCTACTTTCATTGAAAACATCCACCTTTCAATCAGTCACTTTCATTTAAATGTTAACTGCTCTTCAATGAGATTAACTATGGATGTTTAAACCACATGATACATCAGTATAAAATCCAAGACATTTCCCTCTGAGGGTACAAACATCATTTATTGTCTGGGCAAGAGTACTGCTGAAAAGAAGTCGTGTCTGTGACAGTGAGAGAGGTTTAACAAACCAGATGGGATGTAAGGAAGTCATAATATTTGACTCTAATGGTGGGTTCTTCTAGTCTAAGCCTCAGCTGTTACCAGTGTAAAGGGATGTAAGGAAGTCATAATATTTGACTCTAATGGTGGGTTCTTCTAGTCTAAGCCTCAGCTGTTACCAGTGTAAAGGGATGTAAGGAAGTCATAATATTTGACTCTAATGGTGGGTTCTTCTAGTCTAAGCCTCAGTTGCTACCAGTGTTAAGTCTTTTCCAGGACTACTCGGCTGGTCATATATTTGCACACTATTATCAATTATTACTCCTAGGTTCAACAAAGATGCTTGTTGATTTATGGAATAGATAAACCAGTGCACTCATAAGTCTCTAAATTCTCCGCTCTTTTGTTAATTAAAACTAAATGTGTAGAGGCTTGGAATGAAACTTTTTACTAAATTTTGATCTTGGACTAAACAGTTTCCTTCTGAGAACAGTGGGTCAGAGGAATATTACATCTGGTCATCAATACCCACTTCTTATTCTCAAAGCTGGAGAACTACTAGTAACTACTCGAAAAGTCAGGTAACACAGAAACATCAGCTGTTTAAATTTAAATTTATGAATAAAAGATTAAACATGAATTTTGAATTTTTTTAATTTTAATCTTCATTTTACTAATGACAAGAATTAACTACTGAAGGTAACTGCCTAAGACCAGGTTAATTACAAATGAAAATAATGTAAACAATTCTCTAAGTTATGAATGATGCACAACTTAAGTTTTCACGTCAGGATTAAAAACTGATAACCACAGTTATCACTGTTTGATGAGATGAAAGTCCATTGTAACTTGTTGTATATCAGGTTTTCTCTCGGTCCTTAGAGAGGGTAGCACAAGTGAGATCCTTCTCAGGCAGTCTTCATGACAAAACTCATCAATAGGCAATTTCCGAGTTACTTTTGGCCTCTTTTTCAAAACAAGGCCTGGTTTTCTCTCGGTCCTTAGAGTGGGTAGCACATGTGATATCCTACACAGGCAGTCTTCATGACAAAACTCATCAATAGGCAATTTCCGTATTACTTTTGGCCTCTTT